GAGGTATTACTTTCCATGCTGTTTTGGTAGAGGCTTTGAGCATTTAATTGTAGTTTCGAAATTAAGAATCAGTCAGGGAAGGAAAAAAATATGTTGCTTTCAGTTGTAGATTGTGGCAATATATTTGTGTTGGGTAGCATAGAATAGTGCCTCTATTTGTCTTATATAAGCATTTTTATACCATAATTAAAAAAAAAACTTGTGTGATAGTTGTGTATTTTTTTTTTCTTTTTCTTTTTGTCAACTTGGTACAAACCTAGAAATAGTTGGGAGGAGGAATCTCAACAGAGATTGCCTATCAGGCAAGTCTGTCGGGCATCTTCTTGGTTAATGATTGATGTGGGCTGACACTCCCTGGAAGGTGGTCCTTAGATGATAAAAAAGCAAAGTGAACAAGCCAGGGTAAGAAATCTCTGCTTCAGTTGTTTCTAGGTTGCCTTAAGTTCCTGCCTTGCTTTCCCTCAATGGATAATTATAACCTGGGGTATAAAAACCAAATAAGCCCTTTCCTCCCAAAGTTGTTTATGGTTGTGGTGTTTATATTGAAACCAAACTGAGACAGCTTGATTGTGATGTGAGGAATCAGAAGTATTCTTCATTGAGCCACATTCCTAGCCCTAGAAAGAATAGGTCTTGAATATCATAATGTCAGTCACTAAAAATGAAACAAAACACACTTTTACTTTCACTGTTGGGTTACTTGTTGATAATTCACTAAATAAAATCCAATTCAGCATCAAAACACATTTTCTGTTTTATTTCAGTCGACTGTAGTCTTATTTTGGAATGCAGATGCCAATTTGGAGCCTTGGAACCCAACTCAGCTTAGGAATAGCAATCTTTACAGGGTGAGGTAGCTTGTTGACTCTGGCCAAGCAGGGCACACAAGGCGTGTTCTCTCTCTCTCTCTCTCTCTCTCTCTCTCTCTCTCTCTCTCTCTCTCTCTCTCTGTCTCTCTCATGGTTAAAATCCAAATATGTAGAAGGAGACTTCTGTTCCAGACAATATCCCCTATCACAAATCCTCAGACCTTTTTTGTTAGGATGATGGCTTCCCACTTGCTTGGATCAACTGAGTGGAGTAACCGAACTTATTTCAGTTTTCTCCTTATTTCTTCCTCAAAACTTCCTCCAAAGAGCCTCAAGGAGGATTGCCATTACTTCCTCCTAAGGGTGATTAAGCCTGGGTTTTCCTCTCTAGAGTTATACACAGGTTGGGTGAAAAATCATTCTGTGTATCTACTTAACAACCTTTAAACCTTGTTGTCAAAGCCAAACAGGAGTAACTTCTGACTCTCTATTTGTTGCTATGACTATAGTTTTGTTTTTAAGTCCTTAGTGTCAAGCAAATTTGCAAGGTGGAGAGGGAGAATATATATTCTTTACACATCCACATATACGAATGCATACACATACCTACCTGTATACTGTCTAAACTTAGGATTGAGTCTCTGCCTGGTGCATACTAGGCACACATTCTACATTGAAGGAACCCCAAGGTCTTTACAAATCTTATTTTGAGTAAGAGTTTGACCAAGTTGCTCAGGCTGTCCTTAAATCGTGACTGCCTTAGCCTCTAGAGTTGTGCTGGGATTATGGGCACTACCATTTTCAGCTGTTATACTGTTTTGGGAGGCATGATGGCCTTGGTGATGCTATTTCTGGGGAGAGAATGAAGCCTTGTCCCTTCCCATTACTTCAATGTGACTGTCCTCATTTCAAAGGAAGCAGGGACATAATTTGCCTATAATATGGCAGGCAGCATTGGGAATAGGAGCTCAGGAAGTTTTGAGTAGAGGAAGAAAAGGAATTTAGCTTGAGGATCTAGTGTCTGAAGTTAACCAAGTGTATGCTCTTTACTCTTTATCCCTAGCTGATTTCACTGTGTAGTCTAGGTTGACTTTGGAATAATCCTGCTGCCTCAGTCTCTATAGTGCTAGAATTACAGTGTGCACTCCCCCCCCTAGCTTCCCCTCCCCACTTCAAATGATTACATTATATTGAAGAGCTGATTTCCATAGTTGTGAGGTTTTTTTCTCACAAGAATATGGAGCAGCAATAGCATGTTTGCTTGCTCTCTGGTCCTTTTATGTCTTCTTTCTCCCTGTCTCTTTTTCTTTGGCCTCTAAGCCTCCTCTCATTGGATGAGTCTGAGATATATATGTATAATATATGTATATATGTGTGTATATATATATGTGCATACATATGTATACACACACACACACACACACACACACACACATTTCCCCATGTCTTTTGAAGGAAGGTTGACATTTGAAGGCATGGATAGTGTTTTCTCCTTTGTTATGGTGTATGTTCTTCTGCATTGATGTCTTACATGTTAGTTCGTCTAGCTGAGTGGGTGGAGCCTGCTGATTTTGGTGCAGGGGAGCTGGAGGTCTGCCCCTTTGTGTCTGACACCTGCCCTCTAGCCCTCTTTCTCCTTGCTTGCTCACATTTATAGCTCCTTAGTCACAATTGCTCAAACAGGGTTTGCTGGTGAAAGGAAGTGTATGTAGGAGAGCAATGATTAAGTTACCTTTCTGGAATTTCATCATCTTGGGAAGCAGGAAAACTTTTTGATGGGTGTCGGCCAGATGAGACTCTAAAGCAAGGCCACACAGGTGTTGTCACACCAACATCCTTGGGTCTTGATATGAAACAGGCCAGAGGGATGGCCAGATGGAGCCTGCTGCTTTCTCTTTGCTGGCATTGACTCAATGAGGAGGGTGGCTGCTCATCCTGTTGCTTAGGCCATCTGTGCTTTATGTTGTTAGTTGAAGTTCCTAGAAAAAATAAGCCATCCCTACATTAATAATTGTGGAGAGTTGGAATATTGCAGAACTAGAGCCAAATTATCTTAGTCTCCTAAATAGACATTTACTTAATTCATGTTTGACCCAACACTTTTGTGACTCTTAGGTAAATCCCTTTGGAATATATGGTGGTTTAAATGAAAATGCCCTATCCCCCTCCTCATAAATGCTTGGTTTCTAGTTAGTGGAACTGTTTGGGAAGGATCAAGAACTATTAGAGTAGGTGTGGCCATGTTGGAGGAAATGCATCACTAGGGGTGTGATCTGAAGTTTCAAAAACCAAACCAGGTTCAGCCTCTTTCTGCTTGCTGCTTGACGATCAGTATATAAAATGCTCAGCACCATGCCAGTCTATTTCCCCCATGATGACCATGGATTAATCCACTAAAACTGTAAGCAAGTCCCCAATTAAATGCTTTCTTTTATATGAGTTGCCTTGGTCATGGTGTCTCTTCGCAGCAATAGAACATCGACTAAGACAGAGCGTAAGAACAGTCAGCCTGATTCTACTAACCCTGAAGCTGAGAAAGTCATCAGGATCAGGTAACATCTGTACCTGATAGCTGGGGTGTCTGATTTTTCACTAACCCACCCACCCTTCCCAATACTTCCTCCAATGTATTTGAAAGTGTCTTGATTTACAATTTTCTTTTGTCGTGTTTCTATAAAAACTTTGAGAAACTGTTTCCTTTTTGGAGTGTGGTATGTGGAGCTCCCAGGCTGCGATCACACATAGTTGGCTCTAGAATAAGCTATCTTTTATTCCTTTTGATGTGAGAGCTGTGTTTTTTGTATCATCCACACCCTGGCCTCGTTTATATTATTATTCATGCTATTGTTGGACACTTACAGATATCCCTAGTTGAGAGATAAAGTCTTTGGAGAGTCTGGTAACTTGGCACTTGTGGTTTGGTGGAGGGTTATCAGTACAGAGCAGGAGGCCATAGTGGCCTATGACCAGGGGATAATGATGTTGTGGGCTTTCTGTGAAAGGTTCCAGGAGGAGTTGATTCCACATTGCAGGCAACACTGCCTTAGATGTTCTTTGGGGGAAAGGATGTACTTAATATATAACATGCTTGCTATAACCTCTTTAATTAAGTACTTAGTATAAATGGGGTCATTCAATGAAGACAGAGGAATAAGGGCCTGGGCACAGCTCTGTGCTTGGGTATAAGCTGAATAAAGCAAGTGGGAGATTTTGAATTCAATTCCCACCACCAAATCCCACATACAACCTGGTAGGAGTAAGGGAGTCCCCAGGGCCACCCGTTTTACCTTCTCTTTTTATCCCCATTCCTGTCTATTGAGCGGTCACAAAGCAAGGATTAAAGGTGGCCAGAGGCCTGAGTTACAGCAGTAGCATCTCACTTCTCCATTTTCCAATTCTGTGGCTGTTTGTTAACTTGGAACAATGGTTCCAGTTATGTGTTCGCTTTGTTTGTTTGTTTGTTTCGTTATTTAGACAGGATTTCACTTTGTAGCCCTGGTTGGCCTGGAACATGTAGACCATGTTGTCTGCAAACTCTCAGAGATCCACCTGCTTCTGCCTTCTGAGTGCTGGGATTAAAGGCGTGCATCACCATACCTGGACTCTCTTTATTTTTCTTTGGGTGAGGTGTTCAAAGACTTTTACCCACTGCCTGATGCCACTGTGAAATTGGCCAGGCACTTGGATGTCTGTGTTGTGGGTATGAGTGGTCCTAAAGCCTGGAGGTCACAGAGACAATTGTCCACCCTCTAGCACTGAGTATGTTCATGACTCAATGTCTATGAACCAATACAATCCTGGATTCATGTGTAAAAGCCAGCTGCACAGACATGTTGCTGTTGTTGGCTTTCTCTGTTAGTTCACTTGGGATCTCTGGTCACTGCTGTTCATGGACTCACTTCCTAGGGTGGCTTCTCTGATGCCCAGGCTCTCTGAGTACCGTGCTGAGAAATTCAGAAGTCTCTGGAATGAAACTTGAAGCATATAGCAGTGCTACTCGGATGTCTCAAAAACTTGCTGCATTTACAGGATGCAAGGCTACCCAAGATTTAGGACGAGCAGAGTGTCCTTCAGAAAAGCCTTGGTACATCGGCATCATATGAAGGAAGGCCATCTGGACTTTCAAGACTAATTTGTAGGGCAAACAAACCCATCTTTGTAGAAACATGCCCAATCAAGTTTCAGGGATTTTTCTTTTCTTCTTCCTGTAGGTACAGCTCCAGGCAGGACCCATCTCTATCACCCACCCTCTTCAGGCTTCCACAGAGGGTTTTTGATGAGCTCGGTCCTTTTCTGCCAGCAACTCCTGGGCATGAGAGATGGCTCTAGTCACGTGGGGACTGAGAAGACGGACCTTCCACCCACTGAGTAGAGTGTTGCTGCTGAAACTCACAGTTGTTGTCATCTCTGTGCTTCTGTTTTGTGAATATTTCATCTACTACCTCGTCATCTTCCAGTGCCGTTGGCCTGAGGTGAAGACGCTAGCCCATGGCGGTAGGCAGAAGCCTGTGCTGAAAGCTATGTTTCTTGCTGACACTCACTTGCTTGGGGAGATAAGAGGCCACTGGCTGGACAAATTACGGAGGTAAGAGGTGAAGGTGGAAATCCTTTTGGCATTCTGTAGGCAGAAAGGCATAGCTTTGACCCCATGGGTCAGCTAAGAAGCTTTTGGCTACAGCTGCATTTCCTTTTAAGGACACACAGGAGATTTTGAATTTTCTCCTAATTAATAAGCACCTGTTGTGTGCAGAGCCCTGTAATTAGGGCGTGGCTTGGGCTGCTGCCTAGTTCTGGGAGTTTGGTGGGTCTGTAAATCCTGCCTCCTTTTCAGTCACTGGGTTAGTACAGGAAACTCACAGCTGTGTGAAGAAGGCACCCACACAGGCTCGGGTATGTGGGAGTGGTCCCTGGGCAGGAGGATGCCAATCTGCATTGAGTTCCCTTTCATCTTGGTGGTGTGTGAGTCTGAGTGCACTGGGGTTTTGGCTCCTCTGGGTAAGAATAGGCACGAGGCAGTCATGTGCCTGTCTGCCCAAAGATGGGTGATGTCTTGCCTCTTCAACTTTGACCTGCTCCAGCAAGCTTTTCTTGTTCTCTATTTTGAAGGGAGGTGAAATACACAACACATCTGTCTGTTTTTATACAGACTCACAGTGGCCTTTTCACTTTCAGGTTACTGTACAGTCGACACTGCCTCTAGATGTTTTCCTTTTGAAGTGCAGCTGTACTTATGAAGCACCAGTCCCCCACTTTGCTCTCTTCCCTTGTCTCTGGAAGCCACCATTGTGCTTTCTGTCTCTGTGAACCTGGCTACAGCAGACAGAGGAGCCATGTTTGCATGGCTTTTTGTGACTAGCTTATTTCACTTAGCATGATGTTCTTCAGGGTTTACCCTTGTTGTATAGCACATGCCAGGATTTCATTCCTTTAAAAAAGGAACCATATTCCCTTGTTTTGTTTGCTATTTGAGACACAGACTTACTCTGTAGCCCAGGCTAGCCTTAAACTCACTGTGAAGCCCAGGTTGGCCTTGTATCTGTTGGCAATCCGATCAGTCTATTTTCTTTTTTGGTGTTTTGAGAATGGGGTTCTCTGTGTCACAGCCCTAGCTGTCCTGGAACTAGCTCTCTAGACCAGGCTGGCCTAGAACTCATAAAAATCCACTTTCCTCTGCCTCCCAAGTGCTGGGATTAAAGGCGTGTGCTACCACCACCCAGTCTTTCAAGGGCTGGGATTACAGGATCAGCTTGAACCATATTCTGGAAACTTTCAATGGGCAGACAGTGGAGTTGGCTACTGTGACAGAGGCATGGACGGGGCTCTTAGAGCAGGTCACTGGTGACCCTGCAGCTGTTCCTTGTCTTAGCTTTTATCACTGAGACATAATACCCGACACACATTAAAAGGAGAAAATGTTTACTTTGGTTAACAGCCTTGGGGTGGGGATGAGGGTGGTGGTGGGGCTGTGCTTCGTTCTGCAGTGCTTTGCTCTCTTATTTCTGGCCATGAAATGAGGCAGTGTCCTAGCCGAGTAGATGGCAGAGAAGAACTGCTTAGCTCGCTATGGACTAGAAGCAGAAAGAGGGACAGGGAGGGGCCGGAAGAAGCCCCCACTGACCTACTCCTCCCAGCTAGGCCACACCTCCTCATAATGCCATCATAGTGTGAATCCACTGTGGATTTGACCAATTGGCCATGTTCAAACCCTTAGTGTCCAGCCACTTCCCATGCCCACAAATGGGCAACCCAGGCTGTCTGTCACATGTGAGCCCTCTGGGGACATTGCAGATCAGCTGTAACTCTCCATTTAATGGTTTTTTTAGCAGGGCAGAGGGAATCAGGGAAGAAGAGCAACACTTGCCAGGGTCATGTTTGCCATGTTTGTTATACCCAGGTTGGCCAGAGTCCTTTCAGGAGGCCATGGATTACAGACAGTTTTGGGATGCCAAGTGGGTGCTGGGAATTGAACCTAGGTCCTCAGAAGAGCAGCCAATGCTCTGACTGCTGAGCCATCTCTTCCACCCCAGGTATTGGGCTTTTAAACCACTGCCTATCAGACTGCACACCCTAGGTGCCTTTCTGGGTCCTTATGAACTCAGCTTTAGGGTGATCACCAAAATCTGGAATGGACTAGACTAACTGTTGCTATTTCTTTGTTTTCCTGTAACTCTGAAGTTGAGAGGTCTTCTTTAAGAAGGGAAGCTTGAGTTGAGCTTGAAGCTCAGTAGAGCCTACAAGCCTGATGCCACAAAAATGAAGACTTAGGCTGCAAGTGTGGTGTAAACCTACTGGGCCTCTCTGCAAACTGTGCCAAATCCTTTCAAATCCCTGGAGTTCTCTGGTTGGACTGACGGTATCAGGGCATTTGAGGGTGAGGGAAGGACAGCCTAAAAGTCCCTGAATTTGGTCAGATGCAAGTCAATTGGTTGTTGCAAAGCTGAGAGTTGGAAATCAAGATCAGAGCCATGGGAGACAGAGAACGGGATCATTTAATTCCCTGTATTTGTTTTTGCAACTCACTTATTTTATTAAACTTATTATTTGTAATAGGCTCTCACTATGTAGAGCTGTCCTAGAACTTGCTATATAGATTAGGCTGACCCTAAACTCATAGAGATCTGCATGCTGCTGTCTCCCAAGTGCTGGGATTAAAGATAAGTACTATGTCACCAGGCTAATCCACCTTCTAAATGACTGAGAAGGCCCAAGTAGCTTCCTTCACCCAAGAAATGGACCGATGTTTTGATTTTTCTTAAGGGAGTGGCAAATGGAGAGAGCCTTTCAGACAGCTCTGTGGTTGCTGCAACCGGAAGTCATCTTCATTTTGGGGGACATCTTTGATGAAGGGAAGTGGAGCACCGCCCAGGTAGGATCTGGGTTCTAATTCTGCCTCAAGGATTCACTTCAGCAATCCAGACAGTCTGTGAAGTTCTAGAGGCTTGGGCTGCAAGTTTTCCTGAATTCTGATTGTGGGAATGTATGGTCCTATGGCCAGGGACGCCACTCAACAGTGGAGTGGGTACTTAGCATGTATGGGGTCCTCAGTTCAGTCCCCAGCCCCCAAATATAGTCTATCTTGAAGATCCTTAGGGTTTTGTCTAATGCTAGTCTTGTGTTAGGTTGTTTAATCATTTATTATCTATGTAGGAAATATGTGGTTAGGCTGGCATCATTTATATAATTGGAACACAGTCCAATAGGTAAGATGGTGCTAATCCCCTTGACTGGAATTAAAGAATACATGCTGAGATGGACATTTAACTTCATACACTTCTTTTCTCCCTTTGGTGGCATGGGGGATTGAACCTTGGCTCTTGTGTGTACTAGGCAAGCACTCTACCACTGAGCTATGGTCAGTGGTCCAGGCCCTAATTCTAATTCCTCTGTTTAATTGTACATCACGGGACTTAGTTATTTTCCATTGTCCTCTTGCTCTCCTTTCTTCTGAATTAGAGTTGCAGAAGGAGCTGCAAGGGACCTGGTATGAGGTTCCCTGCACTTGGGGCCTGAGGCTTGCTGCTTGGTAAGGGGATGATGTACATCTTTCCACAAAAGAGTGTTCTGCTTACCATGTCCTTAAGTGAGGAATGTTCTTGCTGATGATTTTAACATGTTCAGCCACTAATTTTTAGAAAGGAATTTTTTAGAAAATGGATTCTTTGTGGCTTTCCACACATCGCCTTGTCCTTCCACATCTGCCCTCTGCAACCTCCTCCCCAAAATAAAATAAAATTTACAAAACCAAAAACCCCAGAACAAAAACAACTAAACTAACAAAACAAAACAAAACAAACAAACAATAACCCAAAACCAAAACACAACACAAATCAAAAGAGCCTGCAGTGTGGTCCAGTGAGTCACACAGGGGCTCCTTTAGTCCACACATCTTTACTTGTAAGTGTTCATTGCAACGACTCATTGGTCTGTCCAAGGCCTCTGGCTTCTGCTGCACCCTCAGTGCTGGGCCTTCACTGGGACACATCTTGATATCCCATTATTGCCTTGTGTCATGGAGATCCTGCCCCTTCACATGCTCCAGCAGTACAGAAGGGATTTTTATTGAGAAATAATCATGAATCCATTTGCATTTGCTAAAACAGTCCAAAAGCTGCTAAAGTCTTAGGGGTTGGATAGAGAGCTCAGTGGGTAAAGGTACTTTGCTGCCAAACCTGTTGACCACAGGATGCAAAGAAAGAATGGCAAAAATAAACAACTAAAATGTAAAATTGGTCCTCAACCTTCCTAATGCTGTGACCCTTTAATATAGTTCCTCATGCTGTGGTGACCCCCCCCCCAACCATAAAACCATTTTTGTTGCTACTTTGTAACTGTAATTTTGCTATTGTTATGAATCATAATATAAATGTTTTTGGAGGTAGAAGGTTGCCAAAGGGGTCAAGTTGAGGACTACTGGAAATGTTGGATGTAAAAACAACTAGCTACACAGTGCAGCTTTATGTGTTGCTTTTGTACATTAGTGGCAATATCTCAAGTTTTTTTCTAAGTTTTTAAATTCTGGTTTTATGTTTTCTAACTTTAAACTTTTTTTTCTTTTTACATGTGAAGCTGTTTAATTAGGTTGATAGCAATTTAGAAAACCAGTATGTGAGGATACATCCCGTTTGTCAGAGAGAACTGAGACCTCAGGTAGCCCTGAAGCTGAGGAACAGCTTTGATCTTTGGCAAAAGCAGTGAGCGAGTCTACGGTTTTCTGATCAGCCTTGTTGATGAGTTTTGCGCTGCTCTGTAATCTCCTATTTCTCCTTCTGTGTGGAAGATCTCACCCTCCTGGTGCCTGGGCTTGCACAGCTGCTTCTTCTTGAAGTAAGCATCAGTCAGGAGTTTGGGGATCTTAACTTGACTGATATCAACTTTTATAGAGGTGGCGATGACAAATTTCTGGTGTGTTCTTCACAGAGGAACTCTGTTGAGGGCAAGAGGCAAGCTGCTGCCTAGCTGCTTTAGGAAAACCACCCTCTTGCCTCTGTGGCACCCGGTGAGGATGATCAGGACAGTCCCGGGAGTGATGCTGGCACGAAGCTTTCTCACATGCTGACTGAAGGGCTCTTTGCCATGGTCCAGCAGCTTCTGAGGAACATCTTCAGTAGGGTAATACCGGGGTATTTTTCGAAGCTTAACCACCCTGGTACCACCATTCTTGTTATCACCAACTGGTTTGGTGACAGTAGTAAGGACCTTCTCCTTTTTCTTCTTCTTTTCAACCTTAGTTTTTGCAGCTGGGTATTTTCTTTTGTACAGGGCCTTTCTGGAATACATGGCAGATCGGGAGTTCCTGCCAATTCCTCTAACCAGGACAGGGTTCTGGCTGCAGTACTGCTTCCCCTTCTTGGGCTGTTTAACCTTAGGGTCACCCTTTGTGGCTGCATCAGCAGAGGAGCACCTGCGGCAGGCATCACCGCCAGCCTTCTTGGCTGCTGTTTTTTCTCTTTTTTTGTCTGGCTTCTCTCCTTTTTCACCCACCATCTTGCAAGATGGGAAAGAGACTAAACATTTTCTCTTTAAATGACCCTTTATAATGGTATTGAAGGACTCTATCCACTCATTCCATTAGATAGTGCTGTGTTTCAACTTTTTAAAGATGATTGCTACCTAGAATTCTTAGGTTATCCATTCAGTTGACACTTTCAGGCTTATGGGAGTGAGAACTGCTAACATAACTCTGGATGCAAATGTCTGAATAATCCTGACATATTTATTGTAATATACTTCTGTCTTCCTTCCTCCCAGATGTCATTATTTTTTGTTCTCACAGTGGGTTCTGAAGGATGGCATCACCCCTGTCTTGGTTGAGGTGTGTGAAGGTTGACTGATACGTACTGGGTCTCTTCTTCTTTTTTTTAAAGTTATTTTTAAATTTATTTTTGAGAATTTCATATAGCATATATTTAAAATTTTTAATTTATGTATTTTATGAGCGCTCCCTCTGAGATGGTTGTGAGCTGCCATGTGGTTGCTGGGAATTGAACTTAGAACCTCTGGAAGAGCAGCCAGTGCTCTTAACTACTGACCCATCTCTCCAGCCCTCATATAGTGTATTTTTTAAACAGTCTTTCCCAGCTCCCAACTCCTCCCAGATCCTACCTCCCCACACAACTTCACAGTCTCTCGAAAAGCAAAAACAAAACAAAAAGCCACTAAAAAACATGGAGTCCAATTTGTGTTGGCCAACTACTCCTGAGCGTGGGGCCTGAGTGTGGTTGGTATTCCCATTGTCACTGGGAGACAGTAATTGAGAGAAATTGGAGAAAACTGATTTTCCTCTCCCAGAATCAGTTATGACTGACTTCTTGGCTAGGGGACTTTTGTCTGGTTTGAGTCTGGAGGGGAGGGGTGTGGTAAAGACATCCATTTAGGGCTGAGTCCTCCAAGGCCTCACACTCTCCACGTTGTCGCTCTGTGGGTCTCTGTGTTAATTCCCACCTACTGCAGGGTGCAGCTTCTCTGCTGAGGGTCAAATGGTGCTTTGAGCTGAGCATGGGATATGTCATTAAGACTCACTCTACTGCTATGTTCATTTGGCAGAATAATAGCAGTTGGGTTTCCACTGGGCCTGGGTCTGTTCTTTTGTGTAACAATCCAGATCAGAGATGGTTCTCAAACTGGGCCCTTCAGGGGTCTTGAAATAAACTATTTGGGGGATCACAGTTGAGATGCTTTAAGTACCACTGAAGTGAGGCAGAATAGAAGGAGAGGGGGATTGCCCCCTGAAGCACATGGTGGAAGGAAAGAAATGACTCTGGGAAATTGTCCCTGACCTCTACATGTATGCCATGGCATGTGTGTACCTATATCACACACACACACACACACACACACACACACACACACACACACACACACACTAAATATAAGAAAAGAAAGAAAGACAGGAAAATTAGGGGAGCTGTGAAGAGAAACGAACCCCAAACCCATTATACTATTGAGTATTCTTTCCTTCTTTTCTTTGTTTCTTTGTTCCTTCCTTCCTTCCTTCCTTCCTTCCTTCCTTCCTTCCTTCCTTCCTTCCTTCCCTTTCTTTTTTAGATTTTATGTGTTTGAGTCTTTGCCTGTACCATGTGTGTCTGCAGTGCCTTTGGAGGCCAGGAGAGGATGTTAGATGCCCTGGAACTGTAGCTACAGGCGACTTTAAGCTGCTAGGACTCAAACCCAGGTCCTCTGCAAGAGCAGCAGAGCCATCCCTCCAGTAATCTTTGTCAAAAACTTAAAAACTGACAAGGGAGACTGTCAAAGATGTAAGTCCCAATCCCCTCGAAACTGTTGGGTGAGAGTGTTGAAGCACTCAGCAGTTGTCTTGCTATCTGCTGTCAGAATGTACTTGACTTTTGCAAAGAATCCTATCATGCTGGTTAGGTTTTGTCAGCTTGCTACAAACTACAGACACACGAGGAAAGATGGGTCTCACTTGAGAAACTGGCCCTAGGAGCATTTTCTTGATTTCTAATAGATGGGAAGAGTCGAGTTTACTATGGGCAGTGCCACCCCTTAAGGTGATCCAGGTTGTATAAGAAAGGTAGCTGAGCTTTGGAGGCAAGCCAGTAGTCATTGTTCCTCTGTGGTCTCCAGTTTTGCCTCCAGGTTTTTACTATGAGGTCCTGTTGCAGCTTCCCTGGGTGAAGGACTATAACATGTAAATTAAAACAAGCCCTCTTGGCCAGGCAGTGGTGGGCGCTCACCTTTAATCCCAGCACTCAGGAGGCTGGGTAGGCAGATCTCTGTGAGTTCCAGGACAGGCTCCAAAGCTACAGAGAAACCCTGTCTCAGAAAACCAAAATAAATAAATGAATACAAAGAATAAGCACTTTCCTCCCCAAATTGCTGTTGGTGTTATATGACAGTTGAAGCAGACCTGGATACCCATCAACACTGTTCTCTCCTTACGTAGCTTTAGAACAGTAGCCCTCATAAACTAATAATGTCATTCACAAAAGGAAATTTGTTTTTGTTTTTTGTTTTTGAGAAATAGCCCTAGCTGCTCTGGAACTCACTCTATAGACCAGATTGGGATAAAGCTTCAATTAACAGGCGATCATCCTGTGCTTGCTTGTGGAATGTTGGAATTATGAGTAAGGGCCACTGTGCCTGAGGTTGGAAATCCTTCAAGATGAGAAATACGTCTGCTAGCTCATGTTTATTTTATCTAATTTAAAACTTAATCATTGAACCTTGTTGCAAATGACATTTTGAACATTGTGACTTCAAAAGGAACAAAACCGTACATAAAGCTGATAAGACCCTCATACAGCTTTCCCTCAATGCCTTCTCTTAAATCTAAAATGTGGATACTTAATAAACCTAACAGCTTCCCATGACTCTCCCCAAATTCTTTGTCATCAGTCATGATCGTGGAGTCCCTTAACTGGAAAACTCCTCAGCTTATCCCCGTAGCAAGTTCTATTGCATATACCATGGCTGCTAATAGATGTCTTGGAAAAAGAACTAAAACTTAGCCCCTCAGTGGTGGTGCACACCTGTAATCCCAGCACTTGGGAGGCAGAGGCAAGCAGACCTTTGGGTTCAAGGCCAGCTTGGTCTACAGAATGAGTTTCAAGACAGCCAGGGCCACACAGAGAAACCCTGTCTCAAAAGACCAAATGAAACAAAACAAAAAACTTTTGTCTTGGTGTGGAGGAGGGATTTCCTTCTCCAGACAAAACAGGGTCCTGTTTTTGCCAGAGGGAAGAGGGTTTGAGGCTCTGAGCTGTGGCTCTTCTTCCCTCAGGCCTGGGCAGATGACGTGCAGCGGTTTCAGAAGATGTTCAGGCATGGCAGCCATGTGCAGCTGAAGGTGGTCATTGGCAATCATGACATTGGTTTCCACTATCAGTGAGTAGTGCGGGAAAGAAATGTGCCCCAAGAATGTTTGCTCAAGCACTGTTAGCATTTTAAAGTTGTTAAAACTTGGGGAAAGCTGGGTTTGTGTTTTACTGAAGACATTGATTTTACTTCCAAGATGGAAGTTCTGAGACGGAGGCTCCTTAAGGAATTAAAATATATATATATACATATATATATATATTTATATATATTTGGCATATTTACACCCTCAGCAAATATCTAGCATGAATGAGCTGTATGTGCCATGAGAAGAATCTAACTTAAAATGTAATTAATTAATTAACTTTATTGTTTTTTGAGGTAGGGTTTCACTGTGTAGCTCAGGCTATCCTGTAACTCACTGTGTAGACCAGGCTGACCTCAAACTCTGATGGAGTTAAAGGAGTCACCACACCTGGCTATTTTTGCTTTTCTTTTTTGAGAGTGACTTTTACTCTGCCTTCAACCTCTAAATAAAAATGTATACTTCATGTTAAACTAGAAGTCAGCATGTAAGTCCACATACCCTTTGCTAGCCCACACTATTGTGTGCTATGACACTTAGGCCAGTCATTTTAGGTACTTTGTGTGTACCTTCTTTTTCATGTCCCGAGGTCCCAGGGAGCTAAGTAACTCACCCTTCCCTCATGATAGCCAGTGGACCTGACCTTTGAGCCTCAGTTGCCTGAGGCCAGCTATTAATGCCAGATTGTGGAAGTTATTTTTTATGTTCATGGTAACTCCATAGTGCTAAGACAGCTTGACCTGAAAAGTGTTTCTTTTTATAATTGGATACAGGATGAGTAAATACAGAATAAAACGATTTGAGAAAGTGTTCGGCTCGGAGAGGCTGTTCTCTTGGAAGGGAGTTAAGTGAGTATTATCTATGAATTCTCATGAAATATCTTTTAAAAAAAAAAATGAGGTACTGGGGTGAAGCCCAGAGCCTGAGACCCTTCTACTGAGCTGTGCCCCCAGCTCACGTCCATTGTTTGCCACCGTATGGTCAGACCCATGTCTTGTGTTGCCTGATACCTTGCTTGCTGATTTGGTTACTACTGTGGGAATTGACAGATGGGAAACTTAGGACTGCCCACAATGAACAAATCAGTCTGACCCCTCCCATTCCCGGTGGGCGTGGCAGTCTGTCTGCACTGTCCCAAGTGTTAGACATTCAGCAGCCCGCTTTGTCCTGGTGCTTTTGTGGCACTCTCTGGTTTGCTTTTGCAGACAGGGTCCTGTTATGTTGTCCATGCTGTGACAAACTCCTGAGCTGGGACTATAGGTGCATGCCACTGTGTACCTCTGTGTACATCACGACACACCTTCTCATTTGATCCAAATGTATTTGTATCGTTTTACAAGGGCCACTCTGATAGGTATGATGTCCTGGTATTTGGTGCCAAGTGTGTCCAGGTCTTTCTGTAGCTCTTCCTGCCTTCTTAGGTCATCAGCCTTGACCTTAGAAGAGAGGAGCCAAGCTCTAGTCTGGTCTCTGGGTGCCCCACCCCCACAGGGCCATGAGCAGCAGCCACTCTGGCTCTTTTGTGTTGTTGGCGGTACAGCCTCTGAGACTGTGTCCCCTGCTCTAGGCCACGTGGTGGAGGGAACCTCTTCTTTTTTAGTGCTGTCTCCTCTGTGGTCCCAGAACACTGGTGATGGTGATGCAGCGAGGCCGTCACTGTTTAGAGCTGGGGATGAAAGTGTCACGGGGTTCCCAGCCAGTAGTCCTTTTTTGTAACCTTGCTAGGGGTAGAGGGCAGTCTGTCCAGCAATACCTTCCTTGTCTGCATAGTCACAGGACTGATGTCACAGAGTTACTTCTGCCTAACTGTGGAATTTATACATGCCCACCAGATTTCAGGCCACTTCAGCTCCCAGTACTGAAAACTATTTACATTTTGAGCAGTTTGCTGACAAGTACTGTTCCCATGCTCAGGTGCTGTGAGCACAGGACATAAAAGTGTATTTTCGTGGGAGTCCATAAAAATGAGACAAAAGTAGAGGCTAGCCAGTCCTGACCTTATATCCTGGTTAGGGATTATCCCAGCCCACTTTAGCATCAATCAGCGCTTGGTCCTGAGCGTTCCTTGCTGTGTGACGTGTCTACTTCCTGGGCCTACTTTAGAGTTTGCTGTCCTGAGCACTTGTCACATCGTTTTGCTAACCCTTCACTGTCAGGTCTTCACATGCCTGCATAGGTGAGACACAGACTCAGGAGCTTGCCCAAGGACATGCTTCTAACTGGATGCTGGATTGAGGGCTAGTCAGACCCCACGGCTTCTGTCATGTAGGATTTCCCACAAGTTACAAGTTGGTTCTTTCTTTCATTTGGAAAGAAGCTGAGCTTCCATCGAATCTTGGCTCTACTGCTATTTTTGTTTGGTCAATATTAACCCATACTTAGTTTAGCTGGGACTAAGCTGCTGTTTGGGTTGCATAATGTTGTTTCCATGGGGACAGTGGGAAAAGAGGCTCACACATGCATCCAGTGGCCTGACCTGCCTGCTTCTGTCTGCCTCAGTTTTGTGATGGTCAACAGCGTGGCAATGGAAGGGGATGGTTGCAGCATCTGCTCTGAAGCGGAAGCTGAACTCAGAGAGATTTCTCGTAAACTGAATTGCTCCCGAGAGGTAGGAGACCTTTGGAACAGCAGAGGCTTCTGCACTCGTGTCTTCCAAAGGCACCACAGTCTGTCAGTAACCCAGCCCCTCCTCCACAGCTCCCAGTGGGTAAGCACTGGGTTGGCTGAGTTAACAGGGTGACTTCTGACCAGCAGGCGCAGGGATCCAGCCAGTGTGAAGGTGAGCGGTGGCTCCCCTTTTCCGCCCCTGTGCTGCTGCAGGTGAGCTGGGGGAGGAAGCTTAAGTCCAGCCAGCCTCGCCTCTGAGAGTCTCACTGATGCCCCTTTCATCCTGGACAGCACTACCCGCTCTATCGGGCCAGCGATGCTAATTGTTCTGGTGAGGATGCAGTTCCTCCAGAGGAAAGGAATGTCCCCTTCAAGGAGAAATACGATGTCCTTTCCCGGGAGGCTTCACAAAAGGTGTGTGGTGATGTGACCTCATGCTGTGTCACATGGGGACAGTGGAATAAACAACACACAGGGCCTTTGTGGTCCCAGCTGCAGGAAGGGGGAGGGCTTTGGCACCATCTCAGATTTCAGCCCAATCGCTTTGCCCCCTTTTTTCCTTTAGTAAGTCCACTATTTCCTATCTCAGTTAGAATCTCATCTTTCCGTTGAACATTTTAAATCAACTTAAATTGAGTGTAAATGAAATTTAGATTACAATTTGGGGTGATTCAATTAGAAATTATAACAGAAATGTACTAAAATGTAAATACGTGCATGTAGGTGTAGATTTATTTATATTTTAAGTATATCTGTGGAAAATATTAATGAAACAAAATTTTAAATATAAAGTAATATATACAAGCCTGTGATGGGAAGCATGGGTTCTAAGGTTTACTAGGAATTATGAGGAAGAACAAACCTGCCTTACCTATTAATGATTATTTTTTGATAATAATCATGGGCGCATCACTGCCAGTCTGAGCGTTAACTGTCTACCTGCATCTCCTTCGCTGCCAGCTGCTGTGGTGGCTCCAGCCTCGCCTGGTTCTGAGCGGCCACACACACAGTGCCTGTGAGGTGCTCCATCCTGGAGGAGTGCCTGAGGTGAGCGTCCCATCCTTCAGTTGGAGGAACAGAAACAACCCCAGCTTCATCATGGTAACGTAAACCTTTATTTTCTTATCCGAAAGTTTTTCTGGAGTATTGAAATCAACACAGTAATCAACTATCTAGTGTCTGCAATCTGTAAAAACGTACAAGGGCCAGAAATCAAACGCCCTCTTTGCACTCTGGAGTTGTCTACACTGCCTGTCTGTAATCACCTGTCTGGGGACAAATAGACAGAACACAGCTTCAGGGGCTGGGACTCTGAGGAGCAGCTGCTAGAATTTTTATCTTGAGAGCAGAGGTGGAGTCCCAGTTTGTTTCCAAGGAAACTGTTGTCTGCACATTGGCAGACTTGGTCATCTCTCCTTTTCTAAGTGTGCCAGGCACATGGTCCTACAGAAGTTCCAAGTTGGCGAAAAGTGTTGACTCGGGGAGACCCCTTCTTTGTAGCCATGGGTTCTTGGACCCAGTCTCATGCTGCTGACTATCGTTCTATCTATAAAAAGGTAGGGGCTCTGTGTTTTCAAGTCAAGTCAGTGAAAACATTTGCTTATAAATATGAAAAGCCTATGGAGATGCAGGGCACTTCCGGGCGACAGAGTGACTGCTCTGCTATCACATGCAGGGACACTCTTGTCCTTTTGTTCCTCTGGGACTGATGCCTCTTGGCCTCCCTCCAGGGCTACCCTACTATGTGAGGGATATGTTTTAATGGAGGGGCAGCATGCCAGACCTACTCTGTGAGCCAGCTGAGCTTTGGTGTCCGTCTTTTGCCAGCACCTCTGGCTGGTGGTGACTTGCTATGCTTGAAGCCCCTTGGTCCTGGGTGATGAGGGCTCTTCCCTCCCGAACTCACCTCAGAGGACCTAGAAGACAGCCTTTAAGTCAGATTGCTGTGCCTGTGACTCGCCATGAAGCATAAACTTTCTTTTTCTTCCCCAGGGCAGTCTAACATCCAAGGACTACGCTATCTCCAAGTGCTACCTCCCATTTGAGGACAGGGTGCTGGCTATATACGGTGCAGCAGCTGGCTTCCTTGTGTTCCTCATCTTGGCTCACTTGGATCGTTTTTCCTCATCCTTTCTGTTTGGTTGGAAACTGTGCAGAATGCACAAGAGAAGATGAAGAGCCTGTGATTGTTACATGTGGTAATATAAATCAAAGCCAAAGACATAGGACTTCCGGTGGGGCTCACATGAGCCACAGAGGAGAGCCAAGGTTGGTTGTCCTTATGTATGTACATCATGGGAATTCTGAATCATCAATGCCAGTGACTGCAGAATAAACAGTTGCCTGTACTGTCCTCATGCTATAAAAAATGGAATGTGTACAACAAATTGGTCTTTTTATCAAATATATGTATACTCAAAGGTTGCATCTGTACAGTATATAAATGTAACTGACACTGTCACTCGCATGCACCACACACGGCCCTTGCTTCCCCAGGGAGGACCCAGCAGCTTGGTGTGTACTTGAGGCTGTGTGTACCTAAAAGTTGGATTTTCTCTCCCTCTGTGAAGTGGCTCTCAGTTTCTTATGGATCATGAAGTCATATGCTCAAAAGTACAGAGTCAATGTAAAGGAACATGTTTGTCATAGGCTTGTGTGTTTCTGTGCTAATGGAATCAGATTTTTAGTTAAGTGTAATTTTCTCTCTAGGAGACCATGTCACATCTGAATTCAATAACAAATGGCTAATTTTGTCAGATAAAGTATGTTTTTTTTTTTTCTCAAAGGAGTCTGGATCTTTTTTAATGATCCAATTTTATTTACTTATATTTCCTTTATTCTGATTGAGCTCTGGGCTTATGCATGCTATGCACGTGCTCGATCCATCATAACGACACAGCTACACAGTCAGCCCCTACAAAACTTTCAAACAGTCCTTTAGTAATAGGGACCTGTTGAGTTATAATGCAGACAGTAGTATAAAGCTTCACTCTGTGTTAAGTTTTTCTTCTTGCTTTGAAAGTGCAGGGGGAACTGAAAGTCACTTTCATATGTGGGTTCACGTGGAAGTTTTGTGCCGTGGTGGAGAATGGCACAAAGGAGACAGTGATGATGGGCCGAGGGATGTGCTGTACTGGCGGAGACTGCCATCCTTCCACGGAAAAGCATCTCAGCCAGGATGAATTTATGAAGCATTACACAGTGCTGACTTCCACGGGGTAAACTCAAAACAACAAGAAGTAGATGAGTAAGTAATGCAAGCTGTCACTCCTCTGTGTTCGGACATCTTTACAGATCTCTAAGCCTAAGAGAACTATCCCCAGAGCCTACAGCCTGGGCTATAGACAGAATGAGCAGCAGTGCACTAAAGAAGCAAGTGTTACTTTCTAGCTGTGCTACTGTAACTTGGGCTTGCATCTGCAGATCTTGCACATGTGAGGAACAGCCATATATTTTATATTTGTATTTAAAATAAAAGTTTTTTTTCTGGGGCTGGAATTATGGCTGTGGGTAAGGATTAATGGCAGAGTGCTTGCCTAGCATGTCCTAGGTGCTGGGCTCCTCCCTAGCAATACAGATAGATAATAAACAAGTTGCTTTGTAGGATTTTAATTTTCTGAAGATTCAGTCCTTATTGCTGCCCTCATTCTTTTGCATTGACACTACCTTGCTTTTTCTCAGGTGTGTAGGGACTGTGTGTAGAACTTCACTAAGGGATGGTAGACCTGTTCCTGCCTGGGGAACCCGAAGGAGTCATCAGAAACATTTCATCTTGGAGTGGGGGAAAGAAAACCCTTGGTACCCTTAAAAAAAAAAGATTGTGATGTACTTGGTTTCCCAGTGTTTGCAGCAGCCGAGGTTTTCAGAGCAGTAAAAGCAGGTGGCTGCGACAGTTCCAGGGTTGGGATGGTGCTGCTGGTAAAGTAGATGATTGGGAAATGAACAATCTTCCATAAATACCAACCTGATAACAATATCCTAAGATAAACAGATCCCACTGCTTGTCCACTGAGAAGTACGCAGGAGGCTGTGTGGACTGCAAGCTGCCTGGCACAGAACTAATTCTACAAGGAGGTTTCGTTAGTAGTCATACAAAAGAGTATTACATTTTGTCGTCTGTACAGTCTAGTAAAGCAACAACAAAAAGAAGCTAGGAAAGACCATGCCCAGCTATCACAAAGGCGTAGGGACACCTTGTGTATACACAGGACACAATTTCCAGTAATGAATATGATAGGTTTTCTGCCTAAATCTAAAAGGCTCAAAGAAGCACTCTACTCCAAATGCCTGAGGCTTACAGCTACTGCAACTGTGGCTGAAAAAGAGTTCCTCTTGCTCTGTTGCTGGCTCAGGTCTACTCTAAGCCTTGGGCCAATGTGGATCAGAAGGGGTAGCTACCTGTTAACCTGATATTTCATAAAGGGAAAACCAGAAAGAGCTGCAGTGCATGGCACTGTCTGGGTAAGTTTTGTGATCATGCTTGATATCTTGAAACAATGTATTTCCCCTGTTTACCACGTTGTCTTTGACAAGGCATCCCATCCCCCGATCAATCAAAAAATAAACAGGTTCCCATTCAGAGACACTTCACTGCAGTATCAGCAATGTGAGAGTTGGTGGTGAGGGGATGTTTAGTCCAGTGAAAAACAAAGGAACAGAAACCAAACCTGGGGGACAGAGGTAGCCAGAGGCTTGGTGGTCACTGGTAGGCATACCTAGGACAGGACAGATGGCAGCCTGGTGACACTAAACACTCACTACGCCCTACCATGGCTCGGGGTAAACAGACACGCAGGCTAGGGAGATACACTGCCTCGTGGGGTGGCCAAGAGGGAGGAGTGGTGGCCCTCACAAGAGTTCGTACTGCTTGAGGTGCATTCTCTGGATGATGTCACGGCAGTCGTTGAACACTCTGCGGATGTTCTCTGTGTCCACGGCGCAGGTGAAGTGGGGGTAGCAGTAATGTTTGCCATCGCCCGTAGCTGTGCTGATCCTCTGTAAAGAGAATGTTACAGTCAGGATGACAAGGCCCAGGGCAATCAAATTGAGGGCAGCTTAGGGGAGTTCAGCTGACTGGCTTTCACAAACAGTCTAGGAACCAAGCCTGTCCCAGGAGAGAGTTAAACTTGCCTCAGCCACAGGCACTGAATCTGAGTTGAGACATAGTACAGGCTTTGGAATGGAAATTTCTAGTATCTGTCTATGTTGCCCTGGTGAGCAGAACTCTGCTAGCAAAAATATATTCTGCCTGCATATGTGGGAGCTAATGTAACTTTTGAGTTTTAATATATTTTGTGCTATGTTGCCTACTCCAACCTTGAACTCCGGAGCTATAGCCATCTTCCTGCTTCACCATGCAACTCCTGTACCACATGTGATGGGACTGTATCTCAGTTATACTTCTGCATTCTCCACAGGTGACCTTGGCTGGCAGTGGAATGTCGCGCGCGAGCGTGTGTGTGTGTGTGTGTGTGTGTGTGTGTGTGTGTGTGTGTATGTGTGTGTGTCTTGGAGAAAGGTTCTTTGCTGTTGCCAACTGTGGGAAGCACAAGATTAAATACAGTCCATCTGTGAAGCTATCTTGGACAGACTAGAGAAAGGTAGAGCTGAACTGCATCTCCAAACTTCTATGTTGGATCTGGATCTCAGGAGGTGCCTGCATTTGGTGACAAGATCTTTAAAGGGACAATTGTGGTTAAAATCTTTAGCGTAAGTCCAACACAGCTGATGTCCCTGAAGGGGAGGAGGTCAGGCCACAGACATGCAGATGCTGATCATGGGGACACAAAGTGGGGATGCCATCCATATGCCAAGAAGAACAGCCTCAGGATTAGGTCCTCTGTTGGCCCCTCAGCCAACACCAGCATACAGAGATGTGACGTAGTATTTCTGTTGGCTAAGCCTCTAGTCTATGGGATGCTGGCTTATGGGATGTCACCTTGGCAGCCCCCAAAGCCGCAGCAGAAACATATACATGTGGCCACTGGAAGGATCTCAGCGCCTCCTGTCCAATATTTTTTATCTGAAAAGCATCTTGGGACATAGCCTTCAGGGAGCTGTTAGGACCACAGCAAGGCTCTTGGGGAAGTACTCATCTGGTTCTGAAACTTCTCAGAGGGCTCAGAATGAATGTTAGTTTCCCTGTTGAGTGTGTTTGTTGCTGAGGATGAAACCCTGAGCCTCAGTCATTGCAAGGCAGGCAAAGTATTCTACCACTGAGCAATGGCCCTGGCCCAGTCTTTCATGTTTAAGCTTACGGTCACTGAAATGAATATCTTTTGGCCCTGAAGTACCAGGTGGGGTATTTGGCAAGAACAAGTATGAACAGAAGGGATAGAAACAGGTTTTCTTCTGTAATTGCATGTTGCCCCAAATGCAAACCAATCATTTAGGGAGTTAAATCATTGTCGGATTGAATTTTCAAACTTAAAGCAGCCTACATCTCTCATTGAACTTGATTCATTCACTGATTTTCTTACAAAAAAAGATGAATTTTTCATTTAAATTGGGCAAGCCAGGTATGATAGCCATGCCTGGTATGATGCCAGTCTGGGCTATGTAGCTAGTTCCAGACCAGATAGAACTATATGGGAAGAGCTATATGGCAAGATCTTGTTTCAGGAAATAACAATAATGGAAAAGAGATCTATAGAGTTCTGTGTGAGCACAGCCCACTCCTAAGGCTTGAGGAGAGGATGCCCAAGGTGTGAAAACTTGCAATTGTATCCTGTCTGTCAAACAGGTATATAGCCTAAGAGACACAAGACTACCACGATTCTGAGTGTTAAGACAGTTGTGGCTCACTTGACACAGTGCTTGCCCACTGTGCAATGAGGATTTTTACCAGCATCCCACAAACCTGGACATGGTAGTGCATCCCTGTTACCCCAACACTGGCAAGGTTAGTTAACTTGTAGTAGGTGTTATAATAGCATTTTATGGCCTATATATGTTTCCAAGATGAGTGTGGTGTCAATGAAATGATCTGTAATGATCTCTGCTCTACTTGTAGATTGGTGTCTAGCCTAATAGTCATCAGAGAGACTTTATCCAGCAACTGATGGGAGCAGATGGAGAGACCACAGCCACAAGGGGAACCCTGCAGAGGTAGGAGAGGAAGGAGCCAGAGAGGTAGTGACTACCATGAGGACATGGCCCACACAACCAACTAAGCATGGCTAAGAGGGGCTCACAGAGAGGGAAGTGACAATCAGGAACCTGTGAGGGCCTATGTGGGTCTCAGCTAGGTCCTCTGATTACATGTTATTGGGTGTGTAGTTTGGTGTTCTTGTGGGACTCCTAACAGTGGGAGCATCGGAAGGTGTCTCTGACTCATTTTGCCTGCTTTTGGGACCCTTTTTCCTACTACTGGGTTGCCTTGCTCAGCCTTGGTATGAGGGTTTGTGCCTAGACTTATTGTATCTTGTTGTGCCATGTTTGACTGATATCCTTGGGAGGCCTGTTCTTTTCTGAATGGAAAGGGAGGAGGAGCAGAGGGAGGGGAAACTGATTGGGATGTTGTGTGTGAGAGAGACAGAGATAGAGAACCTGTTGATTTACTATAAAATACTATAAAATTCCCTTACTGGGATAATTTCCAAGCTGTGTATGGTGGCACAGGGCTGTCCTCTTCGCTACTTGGCAGGCTAAATTAGGAGGGTCACAAGTTCAAGGTGAGACGGGGCAATCGGAGAACAGAATTGGGATGTATCTCAGTGGTCTTTGTCCAGCAGGCATGAGGCTGTAAATGGGCATCAGCACAACAAAGGCCCTGAGAGTCCAACCACAGAGAAAATGGCTTCACTGTTGAACTTGACAGTGGAAGCTTTCCTGTACTGTCCTTCACATCTCAGGAGACTGTTGTTCCTCTCAGGGGACCTGATTGAAGCACAGAGCCCCAAGCATGCTGTGTCACTGAGCCATATCCCAACACGGAACCTGGTCTCTTCATAGTTATTTTCTAACTCACCATTGAGAGGGAACCCATCCTAGGGGCACAGTGGTAAGGGGACAAAGGGAAGACATATGGGAGGGTAGTGGTCCATCTCTGCACTGACTGAGCCAAGATCCCCATTTGTCCCGAAGTGGACAGCTGTCAGTATTGTACAGCACATGGAGTCTTAATAGAAATGTCTTGATATGTCTCACTTTTAAACTAATAAAAACTCATAGCCAGCTACACACAGTAGGTTACTCCAAAACAATGACAATAATAAATTGTGCAGGGTCTGCTGACACTCACCAGTAATCCCAGAAGCAGAGGTAGGAGGAATGCAAGTTGTTTGGCCAGCCTGAACTACATATACTCTCTCAAAAATAGTCAAGGACTGGGATACAGCGTGTGGTGTAATGCTTGCCTAGCATATACAAGGTCCTGGAAAACAAACCCATAAGCCAAAAAAAGTACATAGCAAATACCGCAATTGAGAGAGGGAGGGGCAGAATTTGGGCAAGTTCATTTTCATGCCAGCCTGCTTTTGGATGGAGGAAGCAGACACATGGTTTGAATGTGTGCACTTTAGACCCTGCGGGACTTGCTTGTGTTTGGAAGACACCGGTGGACGGAATGTAGCCCTGTCACCTGCTACTCCCTCCAGGTGTGCTGGAAGCTCTATGGGACTAACTGGGTGAGAGATCTAACCTCTCTAAGGCTCCAGAGGCTGACTCTTCTCTTGGCTCACGATTTTGGGAAACAGGGAGGTCATGTCATGGAGGAGTAATTAGCAAACTGCAGAGAGTGAGGCACCTGTAAGGTTAAGGCACGAAACAAAAGGGCAGGAGAATCTCTTACCAAAAACAGATCTCGGATAAAGAACTTGGCTCTCGTAACTTTGGGGTCTTCTCCTGCATCTGGCGTTGCTATTGAAATTAAAAACGAAATTTCATTTAACTGGCAGGAAGCAAAGACAGGGAAGTATGGCAGCACAGAAGGAACCAACCACACAGGCCTGTGTATGTCAATGGCATTAACATACATGTATAACAGGGCAGAAATTAAAGGCAATGTTTCTCTCCTCCCAAAGCACTGTAATGCTCACAGAACTCTGAGAAAACGCCCATAACCCTCTGGTCTGAATGCCATGTATATTCTCCTCATATTGTCTTCCTCATCAAAGTGTCAGCAAGTAGGATAGCTTCATTATAAGGGGCTCTGCCATGATGAGTGGGATACAGCATTCATATGCAAGAGACCCCAAGGAGCTGTTGGTGTCTTCCACCAATTGAGGACACAGAACTCACTGAAGAGAGTTGGTTTCACCGGACTCTAAATCTGCTGGTGCTTTGCTTTTGGATTTCTCAGCCTCTGGAATACTTGGTTTTTATAACTCATCCTGCCTAAGGGATTTTGTTATAGCAACTCAGACATGTTAGGGCAAGTAACACCTGCTCAAGAAGGCATCTGACTGAGTTGTGACAAGCTGAGCCCCTTCTGTCTTCCACTTCCTAGCTACAATAGTAGAAGGCTATGCTGTCTGGGATAAATTGCCTTTTTAAGTCAGTCTTGTAGGAGGACTCTCTTCTAGTGACTGGGAAGTCCACTGCACCAAACCCTCTATCAACCCAAGCATGTCCTGGAACCTCAGGGTCTAGTGACATCACCTGTAGAGATGCTCTGGACATTCATCTGCTGGGAACTGGGCACTGGTTTTTATGGAGGGATAATTTACAGACCCTAAACTGTACGAATTTCAAATGTACACTTTGATACATTTTGACATGTATTGGTTTATCAAATTATCACTATGAACACAATGAATGATCAAAATAACCATGTATCCAACACTTCCATCATGAAGTGCCCTAATGTCCTTCTTTCTTCCCAATCAAGCAAGAAGGATTCTGGCATTCTGGCACTATGGTCTCTGCATTTACACAGCCTGAAGTCCTTTCATTCTGGGTAATCACTGCCTTTCACCCATGCTGCACCATGTACACTTTCTTGCTAAGAGTTGAGGATCACAGGCTAGATGGTGAGTCCAGGCTACCAGCAGTCACTACCCAGGCCAGGGACAGATGGGTACCCTGGAACTCACAGATAGACTGGACACATGATCCCAAGTGAGTAGCAGTCATTGGGCCTGGCCCTGTGGCGGGAACCGTGATCCCTCCAGCTGTCACAATGAATCCCTTTGGTGTTCCTTTGCTGGGAAGCTCCACCTCCTTGTGCAGAGCAAGTGCCAATGGGGCTGGTGCTCTTTGATGGGGCAAAAAGGTGTGTTTGTGATTGAGAGAGATGGCTGTGTCTAAAACTCAAGTGCTCCAGGAAGGCAAGCAAACAGGCATGCACAAATGTGTACACGCACACATGCATGCATGCATCGCCACAAAGGCAAAGTTGGAAACTGAGTCACTGAAGGGAGTGAGGTGAGGACCACACCTGGGGAAGTAGTGCTTGGAGAAGGTCCCAGAGAGAAAACTCAGCTATTGGCTGGACTAGGAGACAGTGAGAGGCAGGTGGTATCTGGGAAGTTGAAACCATGCCTGTACAGCTTTTCTAAGAGCCCCGGCTCAGCCTGGGACAGCAACAAGCCAAACAGTGAGGTGAGATCTGAGTTATGTACTGACTGCAAAAGGACCTGGTGCGCTTCTTTAATCTCAGCAAAGGTAGGCAGGTGTGTGTGTGTGTGTGTGTGTCTATGAGTTCAAGGTCAGACTGGTCTACATATGGAATTCCAGGACAGCCAGAGTTATATGGTAAAGCACTGTCTTAAAAAACAAAACAAAAACAAACCTCCCAACTAACCAACCAGCCAGAAGTCAGAGCTGGTTACTAATTTAACAGCACAATGCTCTGGCTACACAGGCTGCTCAAGGTTACAATAAAGGAGCGGCTGTCCGACAGAACAGGGGCTGTACCCCAGGCCTATTCCTGGCATCTGCTGATTCTCACAAGTATTGGTCCCCTGTCACTCAGGATTTTCCCAGGACTGCACTGAAGCCAGGGCTTTGGAATGACGGGTGGAGGAGACAAAAGGAAACACAAAGAGCAAAAGAGTCTTGAGGTTTCTCTGTCCTCGATAGTGGTAAGAAACGCAATTCCAACTCTAGATTCTAGAATCACCCCTTTTGTTTGGTTTTATCTAGCTCATAGGCTTTTTTTTTTTTTTTTTTTTTTTTTTTTTTTTAAATGAGACAGGGTTTCTGTGTATTACTAGAGCCTGGAACTTGCTCTATAGACCAGGTTGACCTCAAATGCACAGAGACCCGCCTGTCTCTGCTTCTGGAGTACTGGGATTAAAGGCGTACACACCACCACTGCAGGGGTTGGGTGGGGGTGTGGGGGTTCACATTTTTTTTAGAAGTGCTTTTACTTTCCCTTTAGCAAATCAGTCCTAGAAACACCCAGTGGCTCAACACACATCATCATCATCATCTAAGTGCAAGTGGGACTTCCTCACCTTATCGCTGGATCCTCTCCATCCCAGGAGGCTGGTGTAGTTGGTCACCCAGTTGGGACCATCAGTGTTGCCACGGAAGGCCATGGGAGTAGTTGACACAACAGGCATGGACACCAGGGGATAGAGGCCTGTCTTACCTTTGAAGCTCTACCTACGGGGTCTGGAGCAGCAAGCATCCATCCCCTCTTGTTCTATGGTTCTCAACCTTCCTAATGCTGCAACCCTAATACAGTTCCTCATGTTGTGCTGACCCCCAACCATAAACTTATTTCAATTCTACTTCATAACTGTAATGAATTACGAAGTAAATATCTGATGTGCAACCCAAAGGGGTCATGACCCATAGATTGAGAACCGGTGTTCTATGGAAAAAATAACAGAAGCCACCATCCGTGGTTACTCTATGGGGTTTGAATGATGTGCCTGGGTCACAAATGATCCAGCTGGTGGTGTGAGACAGTCACACACTCATAGCCCTTCCTTATGTGACTCATCATTAATAGAAAAACTCTAAACCATTTACAGTAAAATCCCAAGTAGGACATTTGAGTTCTGAACACACAAAACCTCCAATATTCCACATCTGCTAACCTTCACGTACTGACATCATACCACAGATTAAAAATTTCCACAGCTGGCTTCTTGTCACACAGGTTGGTCAAAACCCTCAGGCTACGTATTTGAGGTGCATAAACACATTCCAACATTCAATGAGTTTTGCTTAAGAAATATGGGTCACATCTCTCAGATAAGCAAACATTGCAAAATTCAAAACATTCTAAGCTCCCTGACCCTTCAGGTCCTAAGCATTTTGGATAGGGTTACTCACCTGGTACCCTAGTACTTTGGCAGGGGAGTGTAGAGAGGATCAGGGGCAATTACTTAGATTCACCAGACATCTCTGATTTACAGTTCAGGACTATGAGAAAAGGACAGTCGGATTCTTCAATTGTAAGTGAGACAGTTTTGAAATCTTACCATCTTCAGGGACAGTATAATTGGCATACTCTGGGAAGTAGTCTTCAATTTTTGATTTCCCTGCCAAGACCTTTTCTGCCAGCATATCTTGTTTGTTCAAGAACAAGATGATAGAAATGGTCCGTAACCACCTAGAAAGAAAGAAAGAAAAAAAAAAAAAAAATAAATCCCCGTCAATTTCACAATACTAGCATGTGAAAGCGCTGGTCAGGATGATGCTGCCAGACTAAAAGGGAAAACTCAATGGATGAAGCTTGGTGGCAGGTGCTTGCCCACTCCGAGACCCTGATTTCACCCCCACTCCCAGTTCTGCAAGGCAGACAAAAAGGTAGAGGGGAGTGGGCCACCAGTGGCATCTTCCAGAGGCTGACTCGCTATCATCTGATAAGCCATTACTCGCATTCTCTGTACCAGCAAGGACAAAGCGCCCCCTGCCCCCACGAAGCAGTTCACTCTTTTCTTGATGAACCTCTGTGGGGACAAACATTTATCAGTAACAAAGCAGACGTCTAGGCATGTAATGAATACACTTGAACTTTTGCGATGTAATTTTGGGGTCTAATGGGCCAGAAAACTCCAATGGGAGAAGTTTTAAAATGTTGCTAAAGTACAAAATGGCTCATTAGCCAATCACAAGGCACTTAATTAGCAGCCAGTCTTCCTTTGTCTCACTTTCTCTTAGCTCAGGAGTGGAGGCGGGGTGGGGAGGGGGCACAGAACTAAACTTCCCACATGCTGAATGAGAGGCTAAAGGCTGAGGCCCAGGAACAGAGGTGGTGAGATTAAGAAAAGCTGAAGTCTAGTCAAAAGGAACTTAGCTGCCAAATAAATGACAATGCCCTCTGAAATCCTCCGGGGTCCCAGGGATCAATCCATAGGACTCTGACCACAAATGTAAATGCAACCCATTTCCCCCTCAGACGCATCAGTCTTGTTTTCCTTCTACTTATGTAATTTTGTATACTATACAAACAAGCTTAAATTATAGAAAACTAAACACATGATCAAATGTATTATATCAAATGATAATTACCATTAGACTTCTATAATTTTATGCCTCTTTTTTATTTTTATGCATGTTTATAAGGACAAGATCATATATTTTTTTTTTCAGTATTGGGGATCAGACCCGAGCTCTGTGCACAGTCAAATGCTGTACCACGGCTGAGCTTTATCTCTTGTGCCCTGATCCACCCCTGCCCCAACTGTTCAGCTTTTTTTTTTCTTCCCCTTGTGGGTGCTGGAGATCCAAACTCAGTCCTCACGCATGCTTGCAAGGCATGTACTTCCTTCAGTGAACCATTCACTCACCCTCACATTTTTTGTTTACAAGGTCTAGCTAGTAGACCAGGCTGGCCTTGAACTCTGATCCTCTTGATTTAGCCTTCCTAATGTTAGGAGTATAGGTGTGTGCTGACATACTTGGCTAAAATGGGTACTTTTAACAGCAGCAATGGCAACAGTGAAAACATCCAGAGTCTTCTGGATGTATTTTCAATAAAGGGTGTGTGATCCAGTGGCGAGTCTGAATTTATTTGTCACCTGTTGTTCCAGATGCTCTCAAACAGGTCCAGGGACTCCCTCAGTCTGTTGGTGTTGTTATCCTCGCGGATCACCATGTTGTAGCTACTGCAGGCTGCCACATAAATGATGGCCGTGACATCTATGTTGGGCAAAGAGGGAAGCACTTTAGATGATGTCAGTTTTCCTGGGGTTATGACTGCTAAGGTCCCGGGCACTGTCATTTGGGGATTGTAGCTAGAATGACTTGAATATGCACAGCTGGGCATTGCTGCGCTTGACCAGGGGTCTACCCAAAAGGTAACTGGAGATGTTCCGTTACTTTACATGCTATGTTTACTACTCTATACTTTACATATAGAGTTTGATTAAAACACAGCTGGACACCGTGGTGGGAGTCAGCATCCAGCCCTCCTAGGAGCATGCAAATCACCATTAAAGCACTGGATCCATTTTCTTCTCTCATCCCTCTGGCCACCAACATCAAACATGCTGTGAAAGAGAAACAGAGGGACCCCGGTTATTCAGGGAAACTGGGGTATGGACGCGCTTATTTTTTACCCGCCCCTCTGTTGTCACAATGGTCAGATGCTGCTCATGACAGCTTGCTCTTGAGCTACAAGTCATACAACCTTCTTCCAGCTTCAGTTCCCCCTTTCATTCTACACTGTGGTTGTTGGAGTTAAGAGTAAAACTGGCTTGGTGTCTAGGGACATAGAGTCGGTACCTAATAGATGCAGTGGTTTCTAGTTCATATCACATTTTGTACCAAGTGCATGCTTAGTCTGTGCTGGGGCAGATCCTTCTGATAATGTGTCTCAGCTTCAGAAGTCTGCCGTCCCCGTCTCTCCCCTCCCCCAGCGATGTGTGGGGCTTCCTTCTGATCCAGCTACATCCACAGCCCTCTGGTCACCATCTGCATCTGTCCAGTGCCTGGCAGGAAGACTCTGTCACCTGCCTTCAGGCAGATGTTACAGCCCTCTCTAAGGCTCTCTACTTGTTTGACTCAAGTGTCCATACACAGTCTTGTGAGTTTCTCTGCAGCTCACTGGCTGGACCCCGGCCTCTCTTCGCACTCCCAGTCCCTGCTCAGTGCTTCCCTTTCCTGGAGCTGTGCCTCCCTGTGGGTAAGCTTCTCAGTGCCTGCCATAAATCCCAGTTCCAATCCCTTTAGCCTCAAGACTTGGTGGCTCCCCTTCTGGCCAGAGGCCGGCAGTAGCCATGGCTTCCCACCACTATCCCTGTCACAGGACACACTCTTGGCAGTGTACTCACTGAAAGTTCACTTTGTCCACTTGGAATCGTGTCTCAAAAATTCCTGATGTCAGCACTCTGCATCTGAGGAGGTCCTGAGGCAAGAAGAGAGAAGTAAGGTGTGCCCTGCCTGCCATAAGCATGGAGACTGAGAAATGACAGGGTCTATTGTAAAAGAAAGGGGTAATAAAGGTGCAGATGTAGACCCCCCCCCACAGTTAAATCAGTTTGTCCCTTCACACAGTGACTCTGTTTGCACACCTCTCAAGACTTTTAAGTGATTCAGCCCACATCTTGCTGTGGTATGACAGTCAAACTTCAGTGCACAGTGTTCAGGGACAAAGCCTTGGCCTACGCTCTGTGGCTATACCTGGAAGCCACCACTGGGAAGGGTCAGTAGGAAGCTTCACTCTCATAAGTCAGGGGTCTCAGCACTGAAAGTTACTTCACTTTACTTGGTTTGTTGGCATCACTTCCCTGTATAGTTCTGCTCTCTCGAAGATCAAAGGATGCTCCCCAGGGCATGGAAAAGCTGACCTCTCCCTGTACCGGGCAGGTGTCATCATGCTATTTACAAATCAGTAACATGATCAATGTTTCTTCTATTTTATAATCAAATCATCACATCTGAGTAGGTCATCTGTGAGGAGTTCTCTAAATGTTAGAGAGCACAAGGATATATTTTATTATATATTAATTATATAGTATATTTTTGTAAATATATAGGATTTATTTTGAGCATGTGCCTTTTCCTCCTATTACTCTTTCTTTCCCTCTTTCCCATGCCAGCTCCTCCATCCAACTAGTTCCTTCTAGCTTCATTTTTTTCTTTTTCTTTTTGGTGATTTAATGAATTTAATCAGGGTTGCTTACAGGAACATGGGTGAAGATTATTTACCAGAGCAGAGAAAAATGTCTCTACCTTCCCCAGAAACCACTAAATTCCTCCAGAAACTCCATGAGCCCATACTGCAGGATCACTTTAAGCTCTTTGAGTCAGCCATAGAGTCAGAGACCCCAGAGAAGGAAGAGAAGCTTTGATCTCTAGGGAACACAGAGGAGACAGCACTTCCATGTGGTTTAAGTCCCAGGCCTCCAGGGATTGTGAATGCTTGGGTAAATTAGGAGGACTAGTGTTCATGAACACCCTCTTATATTAATTGGGGTTCACTAGCTCATTTTCCCCCCGTTACTTTCTTTCCATTCATTTCTTCTTCCTGTCTGGTTCAACCCAAGGGATGTACTTGGGACACAGCTGGAGATGCGCTATGGTACCTGGGGTTCAAGCATGGAGTCCAAAGCAGAAGGGCCCCAGTGTACTAAACAGGGAAGTGAAGGCCTGGGGATCACACACTCCTGCTCTGCGTGGGATCACCCTTCCCTACTGACAAGGATTTGGCTAGGTGTCACAGCACAAAAATGGGGAGGGAAGACTCAGAACTTGGTGGCAGGACCAACACTAGGGGCAGCATGGCAAGGCGCAAGAAAGAGTGATTATGAGTGTGCTTTTCCTGAATCTTCTAAATGAGCGTGGAAGAGACTTGGCAGGCCACCTCAGAAGCTTCTAACAGCTTTACTTTCACATACCTGGTCTGTGGGTGTGTAGTCAACCAGACTGACGCTGTCAATCCTCTCCAGGAAGCTGCAAGGAAATCCAGTACAAGGTCAGACTGGTTCTCTAGGCCTTTATCCCAGGGCCTTGGCTAAGTCAATGTGGGCATTTGCAAAGGGACAGTGAGGACAGGACTAGGTGCTGCTATGTATCTGTCTCAAGGGAAGACTAAGCCTGCATTCTGTTTGCCTTTGATACCCTGTTCTTTTCACTCCTGCTTTCTTTCTTCCTTCCCTCCTCTCCAGTCCTGGAAGATTGGAAGACAGGCTGCTCCTAAACTGGGAGGGGGAGTGAAGCTTTCTTCTATGGCCAAACTGGTAGGAAAAGGAGTTGTAATGTTACTACAAAATGGAAAGCAACAATGATCCTAATAAGAACAAAAATACATGTGTATGAAGGTATGAGTGTGCATGAGTATGACTAAGTTGTATTTATGTCTGCGTGTGTTTGTGAGAATAGGATTGCGTGAGTGAGAGGATGTCAGTGTGAACAATGGTGCAGGAGCATGGCAGCATGAGTGTGAGTGTGTGCAGATTTCATCAGCACAGGCCAGCAGCAGCTCTTAGCCTGAGTTCAAAGGCAGGATGACCAGACCCATGTAGGGTGTGGCAGGTGAATCAACATGGTGCTATCTTTCAAGTCTTTCCTGTTCCTACAAAGCAGGCGACTCCTCCTGTTCTCAGAGGTAAGACCCTGTGTCAGACAGCACCTGTTGTCACAAGGCCTGGCTTTCCAGGTCCCAGAAACACTTGCCACATACTGACTTTCTATCTTTTCTGTCAAAGTGTAGGATCCAGAGCACAGGTCTTTGTCTGGGAGACTCTGGGATCCCCAGCACTCAGTGCAGTCCTTAGGCTACATCCTCTTTCAACCAAGAGAGGCAACGAGCATGGTCCCTGGCAGGAAGGGCTGGAAGGAGCTAAGAATTAAACATGGAGCTGGTGGCTAGAGTCACCAGCTTAGGAAACGACCAATTTAAAACAGTGCACGAAGGGTGGAGCAGGTGGGTGAGTATACTTGGATGATAATTACAAGTAGAAAGAGTGAAATGTGGTTGACAAAAAGTACCTATGAGGTTCTTGGGGGATGTAATTAAACACTGCCTTCTAGGGGAAGTAGTGGGAGGGAAGTGGGGGAAAACTTCCTGAGGCCTAGTTAAGTTGTGAGACTGAGATGTCAATGGAAGAGACAAAGGTGCCTGAGCCTTCCCCCATTCTCCTCTCCAAGGCACTTTCCAAAATTCCATCCAGCCCAGCTCTGTCTGACACCTGCCCGAATTCCAAGCAACCTGCAGAAGTACCTCTTCAAGTTGGGGCTTGTACCTACAGACAGATGTTTTGAAAGCTTTCCCAGAGTTGTAACACCCTCCCAAAGTGGAATGTTTCATGGGAAGCAGAAAACACTGGGCCATCTAGGAATGTCCCCTGCAAATATCCCTTTGTAGTTCTGAATACCACACAGAGCTATAAAACCACAGAAAATTCCAACTGTAAAAAAGTCACTTGTGTTGTGGATACTAAGGAGGAATGAGCCTGGTCCTGTATGTTTGTAATCTCAGTTACTAGGGAGGCTGTGTCAATGGAATTCCAAGTTCAAGGCTTGCCTGAGCTACAAAGTGGGTTCAAGGCCAGCTTGGAAACTTAGTGAGACTCTGTCTCAAAATAAGAAGTGGGTAGAGGGGGTAGACTTGGGATATGCTCAGTGGTAGATGGAGTGTGTATGAGGCTTTGGGTTTAAACACCAGCACATAAAACAAAAACAAACAATGCTTTCCCATCCTACCAGCTGGCTTTGCTATTTTCCAGGTTTTCCTGCTACAGCTGAAGGTTTTTACTAGAATAAATCAAAAGTTGGTAGCCATGGAGATGACCAAGAAGTGGGGACAAACTGGGACAAGGATTGTCATAGACAGGTTGTTGGGCATCTTTTGCAATTAGACTGCTAGGCCTAAGGAAAACACCAACTACCTGTCATCAACCCACATTTTGAATAATTTCTTTGTGGAAAGAAAAAGAGCAAGCTATAACTGTTGAGGGAAGTAAAAAATCTTCCTCTGAATCATGATACTTACCTGCAAGATAAAGGGACTGATGAATAAAAATATCCACGTGGTGAGGGAATAAATGCCAGGGTCTGGCTTGTGCTCACTGACTGGTGTAAACAGTCTGCCTTTAGTCACTAGGAATTCTTGATACTGCCACATACATGAGTACATGCTACTTACTGTATGACCAGATCCTGTCTGATTCTGCCCCCTATTGGCCTGACAATGTAATTGTAGAAAATGAACTTGGAGAAACTGAGCAGATAGCTTACTAGACCAGGTAGGGTAGAAGGAAAGAAAAGACAGGAATAGGCCCATCACCAGTTTGCTTAATGTCCCCATGTCCCCTACTTTGCACTTTTGCTGGTTGTTTTGAGCTATGTTTTGACAGCAACACCCCCCCCAATAGTATTGCAGAGAAATTCTTCACAGTGATTACATACAGACTATTAAGGTTAATAAGGTTGCCAGATCCTTCTACCACCCCCAAATCAAAGGCACTTCTGGTTAGAATGTTAGGGCCCTACATTAAAATAAACTAATAGAGGAGTTTGCACATCAGTTTGTTTTTCTCCCCATTAAGTTTAAATCCAGCTTAGGGAAAAAAAAGTATCCATGAAAAAAAGACAAAAAACATTCTGAGTAAGAATATCAAGGTTCCCAGCAATATTCAAGAAAATGCTAAGTTACCAAAATAAGAATTCAGGATTGAGGCCAACTTTGGAACCCAATCCACTTCTGTGTTCTCCTGCCTGTCCTCCGGCCCCACCTTTTATGGTACTGGGGATCTATACCAGGGTCTAATGGATGAAAAGCATACACTCTATGTTGAGATCCATGCTTGCATGTAATAATATGCCATTTAAAATATATACAACCAGTTTTCATATTTTAAAAATTAAAACTACATCAATTCTAAAAGTGAGGAAACAATTCATGGGTCTGTAGTGTTTTTGAAAATAATTTTTATGATTAATAAAAATGTATGTTTAGATAGTAGGAAATGAACATATTTTAAGAAAGTATAAACATATATAGTATTGTTCAATTTCACAAAATATATTTTGATGGAAATATCAGCAGTATAAAAGGCTCTTCGATTTACCAAGGAGTCAATACTCAGCTATTTTTAAAGTTGTAATTAATCAAGGTTTTCAAGTCTAAAGTATTAAGACACAGGTTGCATTTCATATATGCCTGACTCAGAACAACTGTGTAGATGAGAAGATATATCATCTGCTAAGTGTCCTTTGAGTGAGGACACTGGGCAGGTAAAGTGTCCCTTAGAGCAGACTTATCAAAAAAAAAAAAAAAGTGTGTTTTGTGTGTACACACACACACTCCTTAACTCAGAGCGTCAGTACTATGCTTGCACTTTTTTTCATTAAAGACTCATTCACAAGGGAAATCACACTATAATGACGAATTTTCCAAAGAGTTTTATAGAGGCTCTATTTTGTCTGGAACACTGGGATTCTCTTAATTGGAAAAACCCAGGAAAAGGGAAATTAAATAAAACAAACTTTGCAAGTATTTAACTTAGGTTAATATATGTGCCAAGCAAACACAAGTTAATCTCTGTGTTTGGAGGCCAGGAGAAAGTGGGAATTGCTTTGCTTAACACCAGAGGATAAAAGGAAGGTGATGGGGGTGGTGGTTTCTAGCCTCTATCTCTTTCCTTCTAATCCCCACTCATTCCCTTGTCCTCGACTTCTAGCTGGCTAAATGTACATTTAAACTTGGCAGAGCTATAGAACTATCTTATGCCTTTTGAGGTTTTAAAAGAATTGTTGCTTTAAGACAAAATACATACAAATACACACACTAATTAGAACTTAAAAATACTGTTCCAATTTTATTTATATTTTTGGTTAGTAAATAAAAACAAAACTTATAATTACACAGTCCCAGGATTTACCAGGACCAAATCAGCAGTTCTTTGGCAATGTTAGGCATGTAATAAGACTGCCATGTTGATGAACATTATTTTGATCAGAAGTCTATAAAGGGTTGACTTTTATTAGAAAACAACTAGAAATTATAAAATCTTAAGCCTTAACAATTCTTGATAAATGAATATAAACAAACAAATTTAACTTTTCCTGATAATAAATTATGTGGCATTTTTCCCAGTTACAAAACTACAATTGCAACAACTTTCTAAAGTAACTTTAGTATAAGTTATGAGAATAAATTAATCATCAATTAGCCTTTCTTTGATAGCAAAAGCAAAGAAAACCAAATGACATACAGAAAGAATATTTTCCACTGAATAAGTTGAACAAAATGTTTACAATTTGTAAATAAACTAAGTACCCATTCCTCATTTAGTTTTTTGTACCACTTGTCACTCTATGTATCATCAGCCACACTAAACTTCAATCTGATAATTCTAAGTGAAAACGGAATATATGAGAGCTAAAGTCCTGCCGATTTTTCTAGATTCATAGAGGGCAAATTAATAGGTTCCGTTAAAAGGCAGTTATAAAAAATACACATCATCATAAGCTAAAAAGAACTTTAAAATCCAGTTGGAAGTGAAGGAACGCTGGAATTTCTTATCCTATCTGGGGAGTGCTGTAAACCCAAAGTGTTTTTTTGAAGAGTGTTCGGTATTCTGGCACAATTCTAGGGCACCTCTCTAAAACAGAGAGGGCGCTGAAAGGAAACCTCCGGCTGGTTCTGCAGTCAGACTTGATCACGAAGGCGGGCCAGTCTCTGGGACAGTTCATCCTGCTCAGCCGAAGCCACGCGCGTTCCCACTGAACCGGTCTGGCCCTGAGGCAGCTCCAAGTTGAGGTCGAGGCCCGCCTCATCTGCCATTTCCTGGAGTAGCATATCCACTTGGTTCTGGGGAGTGGTCAGGGTCGTCGTACTGCTCATCGTGTCTTCCATTTGCTGCGTCTGGACATCCAGGGTCTCAAACTGGTGCTCGAACTTGTCCATCAAAGCAGAGATCTTTTCCAGATTCATGGTCTTCAACGTCACATCCATCGACTTAACCACGCCGGCCATGGACTTGGTCACTTTGCCCATCGTCACCGCGGTCTGGACTCTGGCAGCCACCGCATCCACCCGCGCACTCATTCTCAAGAAATTCACCCCTTGGTTCTTCTGGCGGATGGCATTTTCGGCGTGTATCCTTGCAACTTCCATGTTGCCCTTCTGAATGGCCTTTTTAATTTTGGCCTTTTCGGCCTTTTCCTCCTTGTCGCACTTTTTGGCACTTCTGTTCAGTTCTTTGGCCGCGAACTTCAGGTTGAATAGGTGCTTCTCCATGTTGGACATGGTCGTGCGGCTTCCGTGGAGTGGGGCCCGGGTGATGGCAGCAGGGACACCGGCCCAAGCAGGTCCGCTCTCAGCCGGCGCTCCTTTGTTTTGGTCCCACTTCCTGTATTTACGGCAAGCGGCGCAGATGATGACGTCAAACTCGGCGCCGGGTGGGGCCTGCTGGAGAAGGACCAGGCCTATGGGAGGGCGGAGCCTATGGGAGGGCGGAGCCTGATGGGGGTGTCCCAGTGATGGGCATCGCCAGGCCACGCCTACTGAGGCTTCTGTGCTGGAATTTACCTGGCGGCTTCTTCGGCGCCAGTTCGTTTAGTTTCTAAAGCAGCAAAAATCTAGGAGCAAGTTCATAAAACCAGCGCCCACAGGCACTTTAGGCTTTTGGGAATGTAGCTACCGAAGAAGATAGGAGGTCCAGACCTGCTTGTAAAAAAATATCCAGGCTCCATCCAGGGAGAAGAGTTTGGGTGCTGAGCTAAAATGCTGCAAAGAAGCAAGACACGCCCCTCCTCTCTCCGACCCCCAGTTCTTTATGTTTGAGGGGAACCTCTGCTTACTCTGGCTTGGCCAGCGGTCGGTGGGTGGGTGGGTGGGTGGGTGTGTGTGTGTGTGTGTGTGTGTGTGTGTGTGTGTGTGTGTGTGTGTGTGTGTGTGTGTGTGTGTGTGTGTGTGGTGTGCGCGCACGCGCGCAGAGGCCTCCTCCCTGATCGAACTCCACGCCCTGGCTTGTAGCTCAGTCTACAGGGAAGCTGCTTTCAGTTGCCATCCCAAAGCCTCCTGTTTCTGAGCAATAAAAAGACCCATCTTTTGCTGGTACGGCTTTGTCTTTCTAGTGTTTTATAAATATCCAAGGAGTTACGCTCACATTGAATTCTGACAGGTGAGCTGCCATTTTAGATTACGCAGGAACAAACGGTGAGGTATAGAGACCCACACACCGGCATACATCAAGCCTGTCACTGCCTATTAGGTACTTTTAAAATAAATGTAGGCTTTCCATGGCAGCAACGTGTGCTGTAACTTTCCTTTACAAACATTCCTCCCACACGGCATTAACAAGAAGGCCCACTGCCCTGAGGAGTTAGGAGAAGATACTGAACATATGAGCAAATTCTGTTTAGAGATGTTTAGTGATGTAGAGCCCTACATCACTCAGGTGATAGCCAATCAGTTAAAGTATGCCTGTGCCAAGGGCATTCTCCCAGAACACTGCTCTTTTTTTTTTTTTTTTTTTTTTTTTTTTTAGTGTGTGTGTGTGTGTGTGTGTATGTGTGTGGTTTCTAGACAGGGTTTCTCTGTGTAGCTCTGGAGCCTATCCTAGAACTCTGAAGTTCCAGGATGGTCTCAAACTCACAGAAATCCGCCGGCCTCTGCCTCTAGATTGCTGGAATGAGCAATCTGCTTGGCCAGAACACAGCTCTTACTCACATCACTATTCTTTGAGAAAGGACACACAGAGCGTCGTCTGTGGGAACCCACAGAATCGACTTCATTTCATTTTTGACTTAAGGTCAGAGTTTTTGCCTGGTCTTGTTCTTCCAAGGATGTATGGCCTAAGATGTAAATGCAACAGGATACTTGACCTAAGGTGTGGTCACTGCATGTCCTGCCTGAAAACAGAATACTTAACTCAGGATATAGGATATACTGAGTATTGAGAAGGTAATTATGCTTGCCTGTTCTTTGTATCTTAGTACAGATGCCTTTTGCCTTCTCCCCCTCTTTTGATGGGGTATAAAAAGACTTTGAAAAATAAACATGGGTGATTCAGTATTCACTGAAGGCCCTCCTGACTCTGTCTCTTATCTTTTGTCTAATTCCTCAATCCACACTCCTCCTTCCAAGCACAGACTGGACAGAAGCCCCCTTCTCCCTGGAAACTGGGCTACGATACCATCCTCTATAGGGCAGGTTTTATTCCTTTGACAGTCAAATCAGACTGAAAAATGGAAACTGATCAAGATGTGTCACCCCACCAAAGTAGAGATGGAGGACAAGTGTGCCTGCACTTACTGAAGCCCTCTCCCCCATCCAGCCTTCCCAGGATCGCTACTGTGGTATAGCTGATGTCTGTAAGGTTACCATAGCATAGGACATATGACTGGTCCACATCTGTTATGACATTAGCTACCCAATAGCAGGGCGTATTATTTGGTTGTCCCACCATGCAGTGGATACAAGCGGTGTGTCTAAGAAGCTTTATTGACTAGGAGTGTGGCTGAGGGGCTGGGACATTATCCTAATCGGTAAGCTTAGCACTCACCACCTCCCAACCCCAGCAAAGCTCTTCCTCCAAGGAAGCTTTTCTAGAAATGTCATCTATAAATGTACCGACAGTGAGAAGAGGGTGCTCACCCTCATCCTACTCTCCTCCCCTGTAGACCCCTGGCCTTTCTTGCAGTTTCCAAACAAGTTCCTCGTCAATGATCCCTAACTCCTTCTTCTCCATCTTCACTTTCTCCCTTCCTCTTTGATTATTCATGGACCTGGGGATGGGACCTAGGGCTTCATGCATGCTAGACAAGCACTCTACATGGAGCCACATCCTAATCCTAGCCCTATAACATTCTTCATGACAAATTCTAATTAGGTAGGATGGTTTGGAATACAATCATGATGAACTCTGACAGATGGGGCTAATGACTACTACTACTTATACTTAGTAAATGTGTAACTACTAAGCATTGTTCAGCACTTTCCATAAATAAACTCACTGTATCGTCACACGAAAAGTAGGTGGACACTGTTAATAGCTCCAGTTTTCATGCAAGGAAACTTAGGCATAGGTAGCTAAGGAACTAGGCAGAGACCATAACTCTGGTTAAAGGTCAACATCAAATTCCATGGTACTCCCATGAGCAGTAACTAGTTAATCCAATACAGAAAACAAGAATGAAGAAATCTCAGGGCTGAGGACATTACAGTTGTTACAGTGAATGCCTATCCTCCAATAGGCCCCAGTTTGATTCCCAGAACTGCACAAAACCAGGTGAGGTGGTGTCCACCTGTAATGCCAGCACCTGGAAGGCTGAGGCAGGAAAATACAAAGTTCCAAGCTAGCCCAGGTGACTCAGCGAGAATTTTTCTCAAAAAACCCAAGCACAACAGTAACAAAACCAAAGAGTATTACTTATTCTAGAAAAATAAATTGACTGAGCAGCTGCTCCCTTGAGAGAAGCCTGAGGAGTGGTAGCAAGTGCAAGGTTGATGACTCGTATGGGACAGGCACTTAGGGAGCTGTACTCAGTGAACTACAGCTGGCTACTTCTCAATGTGGGTGGAACCCAGGGACCATATATCCATCCACTGCAGCTTGGTACAGGAAGGCTAACTTTGTCCCTGGCAAATGCTTTCCTCTCCCTGGGTAATGAACCTAGTACCCCATGGCTGCCCCATAACCCAACATGATCTACAGCTCATAACTCCTAGGCACCCACCACTGCAGCAAGTTTTTCTTCTGGTCCTGAGACCCTCAGAGGTAAGACCATTTGGTGGCTCATTAGAGCCTGACCTCCGTCCTTATCCCTGTTTACATACACATCTGTCCACCTAGATATTTGAGTCAGAGCCTCAGGGGCTATCTCCGAGGATGCTCTTATCTAACATCTGTATCCAACACATCTGGAGGGACTCCCCATCGTTCACATTCCACTGGAGGTGGTGGTCTTCGGGGTCTGTTTTAGACTGGCATGTGTTCTTTTCTGCATATTCAGCTGGGCAAGGGGAGTTTAAAAGATAATGTGTACTTTCTTATGGTGATTGTTAGAGCTGCCCTGGAATCTTCTAGTCATGCCTATATTCCACAAATATTTGAGCTCCAGGCTAGATTAGTAGTACAGGGGACAAGGGTAGTTGCCAAACCTGAGCAATTTATAATATCTCATTAAGCAGAGTATTTTATTTCCCCTAGAGTTTCTTTTTGTGGAAAGGTCCAGGGATGCTGGCCAAACTTTTCCAATGAACTTGGTGAGGGAGGCAGAAGAGTGTCTATTTCTGTCTGGGGACCATCAGGAAGAGCTCAGGGAAGTGTGCTGAAGGAACAAATAAATCCAATGTCCTAGCTAGGAGTGGGAAAGGTGCTCAGTGTAGTGCAGCCTAGCATGAGCAAGCCCTGCGCCCTGCAGCCTACACCAGTGTGTGGAAAGCAACATTAGGTCACAGTACATTTTCGGGAGAAAGCAGATTTACAGGAGTGATTGGGGGGTAAAAAGAGACTGAAAAGTAACTGAATTTCCACCACACTAACCCACACTGTGAAAATTTCAATGCATTTGTGTGGACCCCAATAAGGAAACAGTGACAACAATACTTTGTTGGCTCTGTCTCCCTGCAAGATTTCCATTCTGTTCTTTAGCAGCCTAGGACTGTGTATGTGCTACAGCTTCATACCCCAAAAGTTCCATCTGCTGGAAGACTTCCCAGGAATACTGTAAACTCTGAGAAGTGAGGGTGCTGGGAGGGAGCTGGGCATCTGCTCTATGCTATTCTCCATGTGTGCCTTAGCCAACCGTGGAGGACAGTTATTATCTCATTTAGGCTGGCTTCTCCCTTGTCTTCACTCCCTGACAGCCCAGTGTCACTCTGCTCACACAGCACTTACAACACATGGGCATCACATGTCACCCGGGTGTGATTTAGTACACATCACCCATGTTCTGCACAAACACTTCTGTCCTTTTGTGAATACATAGGGGGCTTCAGTAGCCACAGAGTTTGACATCTGTGTGACCCAGAACCAGCTGCCCCAGGACACAAAGGGAAAGTTGCACACTCATTGTTCAGGTCCCACCAAATTTTAGGGAGGACCAGTATGGGAAACTGACCTTGTATTTAGTGTTAACTGCACACTAGTTTCTCAAGAACTCTGAAACACTATTAAATATGTTCAGTTGAAAACAATACAAAATTACCTTTTTTGGCAAAATGATCTCTCAGGTCTTTTCTATCTAGAAGATATATTTAGTCACTGCTCACATCTTACTAGAAAGTTACAGCAAAGCAGTTTCTTCCTTAGCAATTACTGCCTGTGAGAGGCAGCCAGATTAGGGGTCTTACATTTATTCTCCCAGAAATAATGCCAAACACTAAAGTTTTAGAATGCAAAACAGGGGATCTCATATGAAC